TTTAGCTGCACCCACATAAATACCAAATCCTATGTATGGTCTTTTCTAATTGAAATATGCTATAGTGCACACTGAAAATATTGATAATGCTACAATGATGGGCATCATTTAAAATCCACTAATACTGATTTTCTACCCTTGCCCAATACCACTGGACAAAACAAGCATGCAGAAAAGCATGTGTTGTTTTGTTATATTAGTTATATATATATATATATTAGTAATATATATTAGTTATATTCTTAGTTATAGCTCAAGTTACACTACTAATTTTAAAATCTCAAGGCTGAAATAAATTCAAATAGGTTTTGAAAATCACTATTCAAAATATTATGAAAGTATTAAAATCCTTATTTTTAATATGCATACTTACAGACTGATACATAAAACAATATTTTAAGTTTTAAGCATAAATTTGCCAGCCTCTTTACTACAACCAAACTACAGCAGAGATTAAAATGCAGGAGGAACTTCAGAATCTGCACTAAAGTTTTCAAACCACCATATCTACCCACTGACAGATTCATTTACTTGGATATCTAAGGAATATGTACAATCCACCATTGAACCTCATATTGTTTTGTGCACAAGGATTTATTTCACGTGTGCATACTTCACTTACTTTTTATTATTTATTTATTATTTATTTATTCTGTCACCTAATTCAGAAATTTGGAATGATGTTTAATTACTTTTTTCTCCTCCAACTCTCTGGGCCATTTACCACATACTTGTATCAATTCAAACTCAGCATTGACTTTACTTCATTTTATAAATATATTTTCAATCTTTCTTCCTTCTTTATTGTACTACTGCTCTTTTAGTTCAAGCCCCTATTAGCTTTCTTGTGATTCATTTTTAGCCTAACAACTCATCCGTAACTTTTGCACCCATTTATCCAACTGTAATCTGTATCCAAAGTACAAATAAGGCCATATCATCCACCAGCTAAAACCCTGAAATGACACACACCCCATATCAGGAAATCTCAATGTTACTATCAGCAATTTAAAGCTTCCAACCCCATGCACTTCCTACTTCTCAAACTTTGTGGACAGCTACTCTTGTCTCATGAGTGCCACATACATGCCACACACAGGATCATATCACCAGGGTTCACTTAGGAATCACTATGCCATGATTTTTCTAAACATTTACCCACCAGTCTATACAATTACTATCTGTTGAAATATCAACTAATCTGACAACAATAATAATGACTAAAAAAAAACTCTTTGTCCCTGCACAGAGCCTGCCATTCCTTCATTTTAGGCCTCTCCTCGTCCAGTCCTCTGCTTCTATATCCTTTTCCTCCCCACCTAACTTTTTACTCTTTAAATTTTTTATTTCCACGTAACCTTCCACATTAGATTTATTTTATCATTTCTACAGAAAATCCTATTTGATATTCTAACTTATCACACACATTTTTTCTGTTTTATTGAATCTTGTGCACCTTCTTATCTTGATGTTTACTACCTCATCATAAAACAAACACTCTATTCTCGACCAAACTATGAACTTTTACAAAACAAGCCTTGGGGGCATTAATCTTTGTTTTCTAAAAAAACTTAAATCAGGGGCTGGGAAGTTGGCTCAGTGGTAGAGCACTTGCCTTGTATGCATGAGGCCTGGGTTCCATTCCTCAGTACCACATAAGCAAAAAGAAAAAAGCCGGAAGTGGTGCTGTGGCTCAAGTGGTAGAGCGCTAGCCTTGAGCTGAAGAGCTGAGGGACAGCGCCCAGGCCCAGAGTTCAGGCCCTACAACCGGACCAAAAAAACAAAAATATAAAACAAAAAAAAACTTAAATCAAATGAATGACTACTAATAGGAGTTCTATCCATGCCTGTTAAAATGAAATAGACAAAGAATAAGGAAGCAGTTTAGACATAACAGTCTCCTCCATACTCCATTAAATGACATGGTGAATTGATGTCCTTAAAAATAATATTGTTGTTCTGTTGTCTCTCTAAGTCGGTTGATAGCATACCATTATTAACTGTAAAACTTTAATATTCGTATTAATGAGCAGAAGAATTTTGTTAATGCCCTGAAGTTTCTCTATGCTCACCTTTCACTTCCATGGAAAGATTTTCACCTTGCTTTTTGCTGAACCAATCCATCCTCATTTTCCAAGCTCAGCTTAATAAACAATTCCTCAAAGAACTCCCTCCTAACCCTCCATATTTATTGTAAGAGATCACCATTATATTCACAGCACAATCTAGCTTTTCTTTTTAGAGCTTGGCTAAATAAGATTTGAATGAATATGTATTTTTTTCTTTAATTAAAATTTTATTTTATTGTAAAGATGCTATACAGAAGGTTTATGGTTACATGAGTAAGGTAATGAGTAGATTTCTAGTCAAACATTATTATTCCCTCCTTTTTTTTTTCCTACTATCCCTTTCCTCCCCCACCTCATTCCCTCTTCCCCCAACAGAAGTTGTAATGTTCATTTCCAACATAGTGTCTTGTGAGTATAATTGTTGCAATGGGTCATTTTGATTAGCTAGCTTCCAATGTATTTTCATTTCAATACTCTCTAATACCTACTATGATTCATTCAACAAAAATATTTTCAACCTAATATATAATAGATATTATACTAGGAACTGAGATAAATCAGGAACATGATAGGTATTATCTCACTGGTTATAGAAAATTCACATTGCTTTTAGAAAGAGATAGGCTAAAATAAAAGGACTAATAGGAACTATAACAATAAGTGATGTAAATAAACATGCAGGAAGTGGCACTGTGGCTCAAGTGGTAGAGTGCTCGCCTTGAGCTGAAGAGCACAGGGACAGCGCCCAGGCACAGAGTTCAAGCCCCACGACTGATAAAAAAATAAATAAAAGTGCAATAATGAATTATATGTTCCAGGACACTGTCTATGATGGAGTAATTATGGAAGTTTTCTTTAGGAAGAAGTTATTTGACCTAGCCTCTGATAGGTTCACAACAAATATTTAAAGAAAAAAAAGAAAGAGGAAAAGAAAGTAGACTGGGAGAGAGAGAAGTAAAGAGAGCAAAGTGATGTGGTTTTTTGTTTCTGGTTTTTTGTTTTTGTAATATTCTCCTGGCAAAAGCATTTGTACTTGTCAATTTTTGTCTCAGGGTGAGCAACTGATGGCATTTTGTTTGGCCTTGGTGATTACTGAACAGGAATAATGGGTCAAAGAGCATTTGAGCCTCCCCTCTGTTACATAAAGTTAAGACATTTACAGATTTAAGTCAGGAGAAGGTGTAGCAAGTCACAAATTTTGGTTACCACTAATCTAATTGAGCATGTATGGAGCAAGGACGGTCAGGTGGAACATGAGCCAGATAAAGGCAAACAACAATTGTCACTCTCTGATTCCGCTTTTCAGTGCTTCTGGAAAGTGAGTTTTCAAAATAATAAGAAATCAATATACCAAACCAAAGGTCTCAAATATATCATTACTGTGAAATTTAGCTTCTTTTAGTTGATTATTAAACAGGCGTAGGGTCTTCCTGCAATGATTTGGATATTTGGTCCATCTGAGCTAAGATAGAATGATCTGGCTTCTATAATCAAGACCAAATTTCTTTGTTCTTAATCTTGGACACAAAGAGCCTCTGAGTCACAAAGTCAAAGAGGTCTTAGAATTGATATTAGTTACCACCAATCTCCAGATCTAGGTCTTATAATAATCCCTATAGCAAGTGAAGAAAATCGGAATTGTTGTTTCTAAGTTGAAATGATGAAAACGGAGAAAAAACTTTATGGGAAAATAATAATTGTACTTCTCTGAAGCTCAATGCATGAGACTCTATTTCCTATTACCAGTTAAAAAGCTGGAACTGGAAGTAGGACTCAAATGGGAGAGCACCAGCCATGAGTGAAAAGCTGAATGAGAACTTCAAGCCCTGAATTCAAGCTCTAGTACCAGCACAAAAAAAGGAAGGAAGGGAGGAAGGATGGGAGGAAGAATGGGAGGGAGGAAGGATTGGCGGAAGGAAGAAAGGAAGGAAGGAAAGAAGGAAGGAAGGAAGGAAGGAAGGAAGGAAGGAAGGAAGGAAGGAAAGAAAGAAAGAAATTAAACAAAGAGAGAGGAGGAGGGAGGAAGAAAGGAAAGGAAAGAAAGAAAGAAAGATTGATTGATTGGATCCAAACCAGATGCCCCTCAGTAGTGAATGGATCAAGAAAATGTGATACACACACACACACACACACACACACACACACACACACAATGGAGTTCTATGACTCCATCAGAAAGAATGATATTGATCCATTTGTTAGGAATTGGAAAGACTTGGAAAAAATTATATTAAGTGAAGTAAGCCAGGCCCAAGGGAACATAGGTCCCATGGTTTCCCTTATTTGCAATAACTAGTATATGTCTGAGACAAACAGAAAGATCAGGTAAGTTGATGTTAGATGAAATGAACCCCAAGATAAGGCCACAAGTGGTTTTTTTCTTGCTTGCTATTCTTTCTAACATATTTGTAAAGTTATTGTTTTGTTGCTTTGTATGTCCTTCTTCCATGGTATAACCCCTGTTCTCACTGTATTTGATGTTGGTATAATTTGTGGAGGGGAAGGGAAAAAACAAATTGTTTAAATAGGGATGCAGGTAGACCCATTGCAACAATGAGATGTACAAGGTGCTATGTTGAAAAACGAACTTTACAACTTTGGCAGTGTTGCAGGGAGGAGGGAGGAGGGGGAGTGTAGTCGTGGAGATGGGAGGGCAAAGATGGTAAGGGGAAACAAAGGAGGAGGCAACAATGCTTGATAAGAAATGTACTCATTACCTTGCTCATGTAATTGTAACTCTGTATGGTATTTTCACAATAAAAAAAAAGCTTATTGAAGAAAAGCCAGCAAGCAAGCAAGCAAGAAAGAAAGACAGAAAGAAAGAAAGAAAGAAAGAAAAAAAATTGTACTTCTACTTAAATAATTATTAAGACTTGTATACATGATCATAGTGTAGTACTAAACTGTCTCTGTAACATCTTCTTGGATTAGCTTATAATCTTGAAAACTTTGCTTTTGAAATAATTTTCAGCAAAATTAAAGTTAAGAGGTTTAAGTGGAGGGAGGTGAAGTCTTCTGCATGTCAGCAAGAAAAGAAGACAAGTAAAAGGGAGCACAGGGGAACAGAAAATGAAAAAGCCTTCAAACTGCAAGGGAATCGCAAAACTGTTAGGTGCACCAGCAATAATACTGTGAAAGTGCAAGTCATTATAATAACTGCATTAGGCTAATAACAGAGCACTCTCCTATTTGGGTAAAATACTTGGATGTTAGATAGTAAATTCTTAGACATAGGAAAACATTTCATTTAATTAGTGGAAGTTTGATTATCTCTGGATGTGTTCCATTAGTGTGCCTTGATTATCTGAGTGTATCCATTATCAGGAGTTTGGCTTCACAAGTCCATTTATTGAGCTCCATCAAGGTAGTTTTAACTCCTTGTGGCTGAGTGTTGCAGATTTGAGCCACAGTGGTTTTCTGATGCCTTTGTGTACATGTTAGTGCCTGGTCCAAGCAGTTCTAGTTGGGGAGCATTTCCCACACATGGGTGTCCTAACCCACTGCTAGCAGGAGGTTGCAAATCAGGCAGAAACGCCTTGCAGAGCACGGTGGGAGCTGCTTGGCATTTTTCTGGCAGCCTCATGCTTATCACCAGCCAGAGCCCAGGCACTCATTAGGCTCTTGATGAAAAGCATCCCAAAGAACATGCCAGCAAATTGTGCCACTGTGCTGTCTGAAATTAAAACTGTTCAGAGGAAGTGGAGCCAAGAGAGCTGTTGAAATGAAAGGTAACACCGTGGGTGTGATCACTGACTCACACAGGCTTTCAGGACCAGGGATGCAGCTTTCTGCTCACTGGGGAGAGTGCGAGGACTTCTTCCCTGTCAGCCAGTTTGACAGAGGGGCTGATATGGGCCAGAAGGTGAGCTTTGTAAATTAAGCTCTGATGTGCTCGGGTAAATGCTAGGAGTTTGAGTTTTGGTTTGTTCTATGGAATGTGACTTTCCTAGATAAAACAGAAGTAAGAAGGGAAAAAAGGTTTGTTTTTATTGCTGTTTTGTCTTTCTTTTTCTGGCTCCAAGCACAGAAGGCCAATTTAACTAAAAGAAGGATTTCAAAGCCCTAGAGGGTGGTGGAGTCAGACAGAGTACATCAGGGCAAAGAAAGCTAGTGAGGTAAAGTGTTACTTTAATTCTGATGGGATATTTTTTTCTTTTTGTTGGTGTTACTACTTCTATCCTGAGGTTAAGATAGCTACCAGAGGTTGAAAGGAAGACATCCACCAAAAGCAGAGCAACATTCAAGTCAGGCACAGTGAAATAGTCATTAAAAGTATGCTAGGCCGAGTAATCACCCCCATCCCCACCCCCACCCTCACACACACTTGCCAAAGTTATCCAGGACCTGTTTATTCCTGGAACCTATGAATGTGCTGCCTTGCATGGCAAAGGGGAAATAAGGGTGGTAATTAGCTGATTTTTAAAAAGAGAGAGATTATCCTGGTTTAACCCACTTGATCACACTGCAGTGACAGGACTTTTTAAATAAGAACAAGAAAAAGGGAGGCAGCAGTAGAGGTCACGGTGATATCAGAGGACTAAGCTAACAGGCTGGCTTTAGGACTATAGAAAATGGGCTACAAGAAAAAGAATATAGGTGACCTCTAAATGTCAAAAAACTCAAGGAAACTGGATATCTCCTTGAGCTTCTAGAAAGAAAATGAGTCCTGCTGACACCTTGATGTTTTAGCTCAGACAGAATTATTTTGCACTTACAACCTTCAGAACTGTAAGACGATAAAGTTACATGCATTGTTTAAAGCACTAAGTTGTCAGTTATTAACAAAAGTACAGATAGAAAATGGATAGACTGTATTTAGAAGATCCTTTGAAGATTGAAAAGGATTTTCCCAGACAGTTACAATTTTGGGTGTGGAAAAGTACCCAAATGTATTAGATTTATAAGACATATTGTGTTCATATCAATAAACATCATTTTAAATGATCATGTGCACATAGCTATTGAGCCTTTATGATCCTCTCCTAAGAATGCCCTCTTTTTATCTCACTGTGTGAATGTTTACAGTCCCTTTTAATTTATTTTTGTGTTTTGTTTTTTCTTCTTTTTTGTCAGTGCTTTTTATTTCTGTACTTTTTTCTTGTATGTAAGTTTGTGTGTTTGGGGGAGGTTAAGGGGAAACAGAAAAGGTGGGACAAAGGGTGAACTAATTCAGCAACGATACTTACTAGACACCGTGTTGAAAATGAACTATACAACTAATGGGGGACAGGGACTCATGAGGGAAAATGTGGGAGAAAATGAGGGAAGAGGTGTTCAAAAAGAAATGTACTCATTGCCTGTAACCCCTCTGCATTCCATCTTTAAAATAAAAATTTAAAGCAGCAATGTTGTTTTACTTAGTATTTACAATCATCCTGTCTCATCATTTCTAATATATTAAATTTTAAACAAAAATCATCCCTCAACATGTATAGCTCCCTATTCTACCTAAAATCTAGGTTACTTATTGTTGAGTTCTATATCAATAGGACTTGAAATATGGGCTGCTCATTAGCATCAACAAGGAACTTGTTAGAAAAAGAACAGTTAGGAAACTTGTGTTCTAAGTATTGTATACTCACACCAACACATTTGAGAAGCTCCATGCTCACTCCTCTACCTTTCCAACCAAGTCATTCCCCCTCTCATCCTCATGTGCTGAGGCCCACATACACTAGAGTTTTCTCCTTTCCTGTCATATTTGCTCTTAGGACTTTATATCATCTGATATCTCTGCCTACTGGCCTATCTTCTTTAGCATTTGCAGTTGGCTGCAGGGATGGGGCTACAAGATAGGGAATATAGGTGGCTAATGTCATGGTGTTTAGGGTTTCTCTGATTATGATCATATAAGAATCCAAACAAACATTGGTTCATCAGAACCTATAGTCATGATTTGAGAAAAGGAGATATCTATGATTCCTATTTAGATATCAAGATATCTATATAAATACTAGATAGCTAGAAATACAACTCTAAAAAGAAGAAAACAGCACTTGTTAATAACAATATAATTAACATATAAGATTTTGCTACTAGTTTTTATCAATGACTCACATTTTTGTTTTTTAAAGAATCCACTATTGAGATATTACTTTTGAAAACACTTTTATTGCCAGTTGATATATTTTTCCACCTTATGATTTTACATACATTTGAATTTTTGTTTTTCCTTTTTTTTTTAACTCTTTGATGTACAAAGTGTTACAAATACGTAAGTCAAGTAAAGAGTACCTTTTTTGTGCAATGTCATCCCTTCCCTCACTCTTTCCCAGTTTTTTCATCCCATCCCCACCCACAGGTCCTATAGTTCATTTTCTACCTAGAATCCAGTGAGTACCCTGTTGCATTTGTTTCCTCTTTGTCCCACCGTTTCTGTGGCCTCTCTTATCCTCCCAAGGACAGACAAATGAACAAAGAAGACCAAAAGGGAACAAAAGCAGCAACAAAAGAAAAAATCCCTCTTCTTTCCATTTCCTGGAGTTCATTTTGAAAAAAAATATTATTTTATGTCATCAGATTTTCATAATTATTGCCCTCTGTGTTCCTCCCTTAACAGCAGGTCTCACTTTGTGGAGATGCCTAGAGTCCTGTATCATGTCTCAGTGCACTTTAGATCTAGCTTCTACATATGAGAGAAACATGCATCTTTTGTCTCTGAGCTTAGCTTGTTCCACTTAACATAATTTGTTCTAGATCCATCCATTTCCCTGCAAATGACATAATCTCATTCTTCCTAATGGCTGTGTAAAATTCCATTGTGTTTAGGTACCACATTTTCAGATCGGTAGGGCATCTGGACTGTTTTTGCAACTTAGCTATTTTGAATAGTGCAGCAACGAACAAGGATGTATAAGTTTCTTTACTAAATCTTGGCTTTGTGTTTTGGGTAGATACCCAGGAGTGGTATGACTGTTTTGTAGGGAAGATCTAGGTTTAGGTATTTTGAAGAACCTCCAGACTGCTGACCACATATGAAGTTTTGAAGGGATAACTTGATAACGCAAGCACTATAGACCAGCATATACTCTTAACATTAGATAAGCATATGTTGAATGAATGTCACCTAATGGTCTTTTATGAGGGACAGGCATTGATGTTTTTTTCAGTTCCTAAATTTGCCATTTGTTTTTACAATGGATACTACTGCATTGGTAGGCCTTTCCTCCTACAGAAATTAGCTTCAGTAGTTTGTATTCAAGGTGGAAGTACAAAATATTATCAATTTATTTCTATCAAAAATATTTTAAAAAATCAGTGGCTTACAAAAAAGGAACAATAACAATAACAAATAACAAACAATGACAATAACATAACTCCTACTACAAATGATACACACAAAATTTTGGCATTGTTATAAAATAGAAGTGTATTTTTAGTCATATAACTTTCTAACATGAACAATTCTGGCCATGGCTGGCTTTCAGAATTCTGTGCATCTGGTTATTAGGTGAGAAGAGAGAAGCTTACCCTGGTTTGCTGCATCTCAGATTTGAACATGGCATTGCTTTTGCTTATTCCTTTGATGACAAATATGTCATAGAGTCACATTTAAATACAAGATGTACAGGGAACTATGAGCCTAGGTGAGCAGCATTACCAACAACAGAAATCACCGTGAAAGCTGGTACAATGTGAACAATATCTCCCCCATAGAAACCAATGTAACTTATCTTACTGCTATATTATACAATTGCCAAAAATTTGTATTGCTTAGTAACAGCAAATTCATCTCTTTCCTGGTTACTATGTGTGCATCTCACCCTTTTAGTCATACTGTAATTATGTGCTTTCAAAGCACTTGATATTTCTTTGTTTAGAAATCCTTACTATTACTTCTTGTAATTGTTCAGGCACATTGTAAGATGCTTAAAAGTGAGATGTACCCATGTTCATTCCACCAGTGATAGTCTTGTAGGCTATCACAAATGGTCAATTCTTAATAAAGTGTTTTATTATGAATAAATGAAAGAGCTACATTATTAATGCAATACCTCAAGATATTTTCTATGTTATAATCTTCCACAAATCTTTTTTTTCTATTGGGGGTTTATTGAATGAATGAAGCTAAAATTAATATTTTTGCTCTTTTTGTCTTTTTATGAAGGACATGATGCCATCGTCACACTTCTGAAGCATTATAAGAGACCCCAGGATGAATTGCCTTGTAATGAATATTCTCAGCCTGGAGGAGGTACCCCTCACCATTAAGATATACTTTTTAAAGTTTAACTCCTATTTCATTACTAGGCAATATTGTATCTAAAGATAAACCCATATTGCTGTTACTGTCATTTTGGAGAAAGGGAGGCAGATTTAGCCTTATTTTCAGAAAATCTATATCTGGGCAAAGCTGAACGTTAAAAAGCTCCTATTTAGACTCTTTACTAAATGAAAGCTCTGACATTCCTTCAACTTAGACATTTCCTGGGCTGAATAGGCATGAGGATTATTTAAGACTAGAAAATCCTTGGCAAGTTGATAACAATCATTTTCCATTTCAGTACTGTAATCAATTAAGGCAGGACAGAGAATACACATAGCCAGACACATATTAAATATGCTGGAATCTGCTACACATGGGATTTTTAAACAAATATTCATGTACTTTCTAGATAAATATTTGTAGTATGGTCTCAGTACCCAGAGAAAGATTAGAGGTATATACTTTAGTTTTCCTTGATTTCATCACTTGCTTCTTTTTATAAGGTTGGGTTTTTAAGTAGAAAAAAAATCATTGCTACTTTTAACTCTGTTATACAATGCCATTTCTAGATGGCTCCTATGTGTCTGTTCCATCCCCTTTGGGAAAGATTAAAAACATGACAAAAGGTATTTCTAAATGGATGATTGTAGTATTTTATTACTAAGGATAATTATTGTATAACTATGATAAATTTCCTTTTTGTCTTTCTTATTATGAATGTTGGCTACTTTACAATTATAAATAATATTACCAGCAGACTGTCCTTATATTAATCTTATGCTTTTTGTCTTTTTCTTTTACTAAGACATAAAAACACTAACATTTTGAGGAGTACTAAAGAAAAATAAAATTTCCATAATGCCATTCAGATATTCATATTTTAAAATAAATTATAAATGATAAATATTCATATTTCCTTTGGAGGAACTGAGAATAGGTTTGCCATAGAAAAGGTTTTAAAAATTATTTTCCCCCAAATCTCAAGTAATCATTTGGGAACATTTTTTGAATTTATGTTACATGCTGAAATTCACACTGGACTTGCAAAAAATATAATTTCTGTCAAATTTAGATGCAACTATTGGGACTTTGAAGTTTCTATTTTTTTTTAAGGATTTTGTTGTTGTTGTTTTGAGTATTTCCTCAGGATGATTCTTGTGTTTATTTCCTGTCATTTAGTTGTCATCCCATAGAGGTTCATATCCTATAGACATTTCACTTAGCCTTTATCTTCGTGTGGTATAAACTACACTCCAGCATTGCATGCCATTCAGGCAAGCTGGTTGATGGGCAGAGGGACACAATCTCATGGCCTTGATAACAAAGGCTGAGCAACTAAAACAGAAAACCATGTCAGTTTTAATGCCAAGGGTACAGAGATCATATAATTTTTAATGATGTTAATTAGTCAATCCCAATTGGAAAAAAATAAATGTTACTAGAGAATGATGTTTTCTGTAAAGTAGACATATACATGTGAGTATATGCATCCATGTGTGTTTAACTCAATATTTAATATGACAATTCCTGTTTTCAGAGAAGGCAGATGTTCTCCTCCTGAGGGCTGGACTGCCTTCACATTTTCATCTTCAGCTGTCAGAAATTGAGTTCCATGAGATTATTGGCTCAGGTAACCTATGAAAATGTAAGTCTGCTTTAGTTTAATGAACTCAAGACAATTGTGCTTACTTATTTCCCTTAAACAACTTTAGGTTCTTTTGGGAAAGTATATAAAGGACGCTGCAGAAATAAAATAATGGCTATAAAAGGTAAGAACACAACAAAAAGTTTAGAATCCACATAGAACTGTGGATTCTAGAACTGTGTAGAAAAACATCAGCCCACTGTTTGGATCCAGCTGTTGATGGAAATTTCCTCTTGCCATTATTTCTAGTTATCGAGCCAACACCTACTGTTCCAAGTCGGATGTGGATATGTTTTGCCGAGAGGTGTCCATTCTCTGCCAGCTCAATCGTCCCTGTGTAATTCAGTTTGTGGGCGCTTGCTTGAATGATCCCAGCCAGTTTGCCATTGTCACTCAGTACATATCTGGAGGTTCGCTGTTCTCCCTTCTTCATGAGCAAAAAGGTATGGGTTCTTGTTGTGGTTTATTCTTGGACTTATGACATGTCTGTGGCACTCAGATTAAATGAATCTTCATCTTCTAAAGAGTCTTAAGTCTAAGCAAGCATGGAACTTTAAGTATGGATAAATAATTGATGCTTGATTATTATATTTCAAATAATTGGATAATTTCTTAATGAGATGGAAGAATATGTAACAATCTTCAAAAGAATTAAATCTCAAAGAACCAAAGTTGACAAATAAAGCTCAAATAAGACTCACTTTGCCATAGCTATGAAGTAGATAAAGGTGAGGTCACAAATAATTATCAAGCACCACAGTTTCTATGAAAGGAAGTCTTAAAAAAGAATAACTTTAGACAAGCCTCATTTGTATTAGTTTCGCACACATATATAATATAATTAAATGCTAAATGGTTTCATTCAATAATTAAGTTCTACATTAGTACAAAGAATTTCAGTATATTACAAATAAATTAGAAAATCAAGTTCAATATGTTTAAATACTTATGTATCTATGTTGAGTTATAATTAAGCATACATTCTGTGATGTCCAAAGCTACTTTTTCAAGATTGGTTGGCTTTTTAGCTTCATATACAATTAATAAAGCACAAAATTAAATTACACAGAATAATAACATAAACCACTTAATTTCTTTTAAGTGATATGGAATTGTTGGTTATGAGTATTTCATCTCCATAAAAACTATTTTTAATTTTAGGATTCTTGATTTGAAGTCTAAATTGATTATTGCAGTAGATGTTGCCAAAGGTATGGAGTACCTTCACAACCTGACACAACCAATTATACATCGTGATTTGAACAGGTATTTTTTAAATGAATTTAAAATTGTACAACCTAATAAGAGTATAAGACAGAGTCAGTAAAGATATAGTTTAACTTTCTTGAAGATAAGGTTTTTCTTCCTACACTGTGGGTAAGGGAGCAGGTAATATGCTCAGGCAATACAAAGTTTGGCACTTGTCCTTTACACAAATAAAATATTGTCTTACCTGCTTCTCTGGGATATTCCTAATCTATGACAAAATCTCAGAAAGATAGGGATGCATCAAAAATTCACCAGCTGTTTATATGCACAGCATAACAGTGTTTCTTTTAAGGGTGGACATTTGGTTTCATGCAACTACAGTGGGGCTGAAACTGGCTAAGGTTGGGAAAATTGTAACTATTGTACAGTAGCACAACAAATTACAGATTTGTGGCAGGGTTGATGTTAACCAAATCCACTATATTCTGTCAGATGAATTTATAACATATAATTTTGTTTAATCTACAATACTAATAATGACAATAAACAACCATGTTAATTTGTTTATGTATTATATTTTTCTCATTAATTTATAATTGTATTCCTTTAGTTTATAAAATAAATTTCCTGTAATATAATATGACATGTTAGGCCACCACTAGCTGTTTACCTCATCTGGTGATTGTACTGAGGCTGCATTTAGTGACTGATAGGGATCATCTAGGTTTGTGTAATCAGTGTCCGCACAATGACAAAAACTACCTAGCAGCACATTTCTCATAATGTATTCTTATCATTGAGTGAACAGGACTCTAACTCCCTGGTCTATAAGGTCAGATCAAGGATTAAGTCAATGGCACCATACAAAGTTAGGAATTAGTGGAAAACCTTATCTGAAATACTTTGTGTTATCATTTGTACTTTTCTATTAGTAAATTCAACCAAGCTATCAAAGGTTATTTACCTAGTTTTCCTGTGAAGTAGGGATTTGAAACAAATATAAAATCAAAGTGTTCCATGAAATTGAAGTGGAATAAATAAATGCCTTGTCACACTTTGTGATTTCTCTTATATTCATGTATCAATATCAAAGGTCTTCAGTTGTTTTCACTTACTAATCTTTCAAAGTCTATATTAGACTAAACTACAGTTATAATTTATCATAGTTGCAGGTAAATAAATAATTAAAATAAAATGTAATACTTGTATATTAATTTGTATATATAATAAATATATAACTACATTATAATTATATATTAAATGCTGTATATTTAATAATATAATACAATTTAATAATAAAATTTAATTATAATTTCTTAAACAGCAAAAGTTTCTCTGAACAAAGTTTTATTTAAAATCAGTAGAAAACTGTTCATTTCACATTTCTTCAGGGAGACCCCTGGATCACCTGTGTGAAATCCCAAACATGCTGTGAAGACTAGCTGAATAGCCACCGAACTAATTTATGAAATAAGTCAGATTATTCCACTAGTAACTTTCATTCTATAACTATCAATAAGGGTCTGTACACTGTTCTTTACACCAATTCTGCAGTCCTGAAGCTACTAAATAATAACAGATTATTCAGTCAATTGTTAAACAGGTACTTGGAATTCTACTCTGTTTAGTCTTTCCACTAAACATGGTAATTTGCAAAATTATACTTCTATTTAATACTACTTTCAAGGAGCTTTCACATTTTTTCTATTAATGTAGAAAAATAATTACCTAAATATATTTTGAGATAACAAGTTATATAAAAGATACAGCAAATCCTTTTTTATGAATTTCAGAAAAATTATTAATTACTCCCAAGGAATTTAGAGATATCACCACAAAGAGATGACATATAAACTTGGGTGTGAAAGTGTGTATAAAGTCAGGAAAGCTCCCAGGCTTGGAGAAGAAATTGGAAAGTCAAGGTCTATATAGAAATTATGAAAAATTTAGTGTAAAATTATAAATTTATGTAGTATATATAGTGTGAAGTAGATCATTATGAAATAAGGCTAGAAAATGGAGCAACAACTCAAAAATTTCTCCATATTGTATTGAAGTAATTTAGATGTTATACCATACATAAGGAGGAATACAAACTGGAAAATACATATTTGAAGGTACATTATGGAAAGATAACCTAGCACTTGGGAAAAAGTTAATATAAAGGAAATATCAAGAACCTGGTAAAGTGTTTAATGTAGTATTCTAGACAGAAATAATGAACAGCAGAATTTCACTACTGGTGGGTAGAAAATGAAAGGAAGATACGTCTATCAACGATGTGAGAGATAAAATGAACTAACTCTTATATAAGAATGTCCAAATCTTAGATGTTGGAAGTAAATAATACCATAGTCAAACGACAATATTTATCTAGTAGTTTTCAAATAAAAGTCATTTATTTAGAAATAACATTTGGTTCTTTTATTTAATTCTCTTTGAAAACAAACATTTGTTTTATTCATTTGTTTGTTCATTATTTTTTGGTTGTTATGAATCAATAAACATTTTTCTTGAGTTGTACTGCAATATTTAAGAAACAGACTGAAAGGGTAAGTTAGCATGATACAAAATGATACTTTTTATTGTCTCATACTAACTATCTTTTCATGTGGTATTAAAGCAAATAACTGATTACTTCAAGTCTTTTCTAAATCTGGGACAACCGAAGGTATACTTTGCTGTGAGTAAGTGCAAGTTGTTGCCTGCAGCTATACAACAGGACCAAAAATTTAAGTATAGATTAAAAATCAAAAGGAAATATCTTTCTAACGGACAAAGATCTATTTTTACCATTGTTTATGTTTCTAATCTAACTTAAGTGGTTAAATTCCACCCCCCCCCAAAAAAAAGCAAATTCTATAACTGAATACTTATGAGAGAAAAATCTTGACTATTGATTCGGTTACTGATACTTCGGTTTCGTGAGCTTAGTGCCAGTTAGAATAATGAGATCAGGAGATGAGAGAAAAAGAAATGAAGATTCTTATTAATTTTCCTGCAAATTAATGTGTTCAGTAACATAATGTTCCAAAGTCTGCAGAATCAAACACAAGGAGAAAAAAGAGTTTTTTTTTATTTTTATGGAAAACCCTAAACTTGGAAAGTTCTTAGATTGCTTATTTCCAGTTGGTGTTATTCATTTTCATTTGTTGACATTGCCTTTTCAGGATGGTTCCAGATTGCATATCTTTCACTTATCTTTCTTTGTGTCAGTACTACCCATCTGTTGGTACCAACCTCTGAGATTGAGTATTGCTAACAAATAGTTGCCTCTATAGGCAAAAGGCATGTTGACAAGGCAGGTGGTGGTTGACTAGGTGACTGTAAAATCTTATTCTTGAATAAAAAAATAGAGGAATGAGTGAGAAAGTAGAGTAACCAAAATGAGGAAAAAGTAAAATTAGACTGGAACAATTAGGCAATCTAGGCTGCCAAGTAAAGTAATTTAATTGCTGAAGTTGTGACTATATGCGTACTTTGGTATCTGTCCTTGCTATATTTTCCATAGTATCAATTTTTTGCCTTCCATTTTTTGGAAAATGTATGTCTTGTTCTTCCTGTTGAGATTGGGTGATGTTATAGGAATATTCAGATGGAACGTAGTAAGGAATCAGTGGTCCTAGGCAGAACAGATTTTAAGTACCTGTTACATACCTATTATTTGTAGGTGTCTTTTTACAAATCTTTAATTGGGGAAATACAATAAAAGATTCTGCTTTTCAAATATGTGTAGTGTTGTATATGGTTCAAAAAACCTCGCTTCCTTCCCATCAGAGGACTTTTTAAAATTTACTTGAGTATGGAGACCATATATCCAGGAAGAAGCTAAATTTCCACTGTAGATTGGAAACAATTAAGGGCCCAAATGATTAAATAGCAGCTTCAACTGATTTGAAGTATTTAAATGGTCCAAGTGGAGTGGAATGCTTCCTAGAGGACATAGAGCTAAAACTTGGCCTTGAACAAATGGCATGAATCTGTCCCTAGGCTTTGCACTGCATCTTAACCTTTGCTTCTCCACAGTGCTTGAAGAGTTCCTTTGAAAGAGGTAGACAGGAGATGTACATCAAGGTTGTAGCTTATTCACTTTTGATTGACATACCTGTTTATTTCTCTCTCTCTCTGTCTCTGTCTCTCTGTCTCTGTCTCTGTGTTAAACACACACAGAGATACTGTGGTTTGAAAGTTTGAAATCAGAGCTTACTGATTTCACTCAGCTTAGTTTTTACTCACCACTGGTGCTCTGCAACTTGAACCATGCTTCCTGTTCTAGCTTTTCTCTAAGATTTGTCAGCCTGGTCTGGCTTCAAATCAGTACCTGCTACCATCAAACCAGTACCTGGCAGAGCTTCAAGTTTCAGATTCAATGTTCTGGTTTCTTCATCTCCTCTTCCCAGAACTGAGCACAGTGTCCATATGTTTAAGGTGCTCAGTCAATGCATTTTTAGATAAGCAAAATTCTTGATACATTCTAGAAATATCATTTTAGAAACAAGTAACCTACTTGGTATAAATATGGAAATTTGTAGATAGTCTGACTAATTCATCCAATGGCTACAATGATTTTAAAAGAAATATTCTATTTGAGTTATCAGCCCACAGAAAGGACATTTCTATATTTGGGTTTGAATTTGTTGATATAATTTGAATGACAAAAAAGTACCCTACTTTCCCCCTTTCAAGAAGACCTATCGAGTTTTTTCCCTTTGCATTTCTTTTCCTTTCCATTTTTTCTCTTCTTGTCCTTTTGTTTCCTTTCTTTCTTTCCTTTTTTTTTTGTCAGTTGTGGAGCTTGAACTCTGGGCTTGGGCGCTGTCCCTGCGCTCTTCAGCTCACAGTGAGAGCTCTACTGCTTAAGCCACAGTACCATTTCCAGTTTTCTAGTGGTTAATTGGAGATAAGAGTCTCACGGATTTTTTTGACGAGACTGGCTTTGAACCATGATCCTCAGATCTCAGCCTCCTGAGTAGCTAGCATTACAGGCGTGAGCCACCGGCGCTCGGCTTTTGTTTCCTTTTCTATTACTTTTCTTTTCCTCTGATTGTTCTGAGATT